TGTAGCGTTAGATAGGATTAACGCTGCTAATTCATTCTCCACTTTACCCAGTCTGGCGCACCTTCCTCTGCGCCCGCTTACAGGACCTGCGCGAAGTTGATGGTGACATGCATTGCACAGTGTGCAAGGCTCGTCTGCCGTCGGAAGTCCTGTCTTCGGCGGCCTCGGCTTCCACCGCACTTAAGACGACAACCAAACGGCGATGGGTTGAACTCAAGTCCAAACGTGGGCGAACGTACTATCACAACAACGACACGGGAGAAGATCGGTGGGACATGCCGCCAGACTTTGCCTTCGTGTCCACTGTCAATGCTGCGGACGACGCGGCTACGATGGGTAAGCTACGTGACGGACGTGCATCTTCCTCCTGACATGACGTGAGCAGTCAACTTCAAGAACGACGATCCCGTGCGCAATGCGATCCTTCTTCAGCAAAACAAGCAGGAAGCTCGCAAACAAGGTGTTGCCGAAGACGTGATTGAGACACTCGCGGCCAAAGTTGCTGCTGAACAAGCCGGGAACTCGCTGCAAGGCCAACTCGCAGCGTTGGAAAAAGCACAGAAAGCTGCGAAAGAGACGAAAACGGTAAACGGACCGCCGCCAGCACCTGCTCCGGCACTAAATGGTACGCCCAAACAGCATGAAACCACTGCCAGCCAAGCTAGTTCGTGCACTCTGATGTAATGGCACTTCCACGGCCGCATCCTTCTTGAATCGATGTGTGCATGGCATTGACAGCGATGCAATGTAGCTGAGAACATGAACACTGCATTTGAGGTACCTGTCGACGAAAGGCTTCGGGCAGACAAATCCAAAACGCTCAGTCGAGTATGTTGCGTTTCGGCAGGTCGACATTGCGCTGAGCAGCCTTTTCTCGACGACGCGCCTGAGCGCTTGAGAGCTATATGACGCTAAATTCTTGAATGTAGTCGCATGAAGGTGCACAATAAGTCTTTGGCATTAGCCTAGGTGCCTTGTGCCTCGACCTTAGCTGCCCATGGCAATCACCCTGTTCGACGAAAGATGGTTGTGTGCTATGGTCAGGCGCGAGGCGGTGGCCGACCGGAACACTTGCGACACACACGCCAACGCTGAGCGCGACCATGAGCCGCGACGAAGCCGCGGGCGAAATGGCGAGTTCGTCCTTGATTTCTGCGTACGCATCGGCACCAAATTTCGTTTGTAAGTGAAGCAGAAAGAGACAGGTCTTCTCGCGACCTACGACGCTCGTCTAGTAGCTCGAGTGGTGGGGCGCCACCTGCACCAGGTCCAACACGTGCCGTCAGGATTCGTGCTTCAAGCCCTGTCTGCCAACGAACAGAGTTTATCCAGGACAAAACAAGACACCTCTTGGAAGCGGGATGATCGTTGTTGGTGGAACGATGGCGCCGTTTGGAAGTGCATATCAACGACTGACAAAGGCGGGTACAGACGCGACTCCAGAAGCATTCGAGGGGGCGACGGTAACTCCAGTAGCGGCCACTTCGTCTACATCACGCCGAGTCTACAAGGGGCGACAGATCTTACGTCACCACGGCCGACCCCAGCTTGTGACTGTTTTCGACACTGCCACGAGCGCAGGAACGTTGTTGAAGACGGCCGTCAATGCGGGTTGCGCCATGGTGTTTGGAATTCCAGCAGGTGCATCGACAAGGCACGGTAGTGCCGAACACTACGACCGAGCGACAACGGCGATTTATTCGAATCGAGTCGCGATTATCCGGATGGTTGGCGATAAAAATTCAGTTTGCCATGGTGGCGCCGTTGACTCTGCCACCAGGGTCGACGCTGGAGACCATCCGTCGCTTCATCGACGATGTTGGGGGTCGAAGCAAGCTGCGTGGGCTGTCTAACGAGGATGTGTGGACTCAGTATGTTGCACGAAAGCTGCCACACGATGGACCAACCGCCAGCAACGGCATGGATCGAATCGCGATGACGCTCCAACATGGCGTTGCCGACTGGTACGTGTGCCACGACTGGAACGCTCCCTTCCTCGACATCGTCGATTCCCTGGAGCGTTGGACTGCATCCTCAAGCAAACCTCCATCGTTTTGGCTGCCAACGTTCCATCAACCCATCCATCTCCATTCGCCATTCACTGCGTCCAGGCTAGACGACGCAATCCAACTTGACTTATTCAACATCATCGCTGCCGTGCGAACATGCTTGTGCTTTGGCCTTGCGACAATGTGGCACAGCTTCTCGCTTGCCCATGGACCTCCTTCTCGTTGGAGATTGCTGCAACCCACACCGACACCATCCACCTCGAGATTACAAGCGTCGTCGAGCCAAACGAGGCTTTGCAGGAGCCCGTAGCGACTCTATTGAACGGTTATATGGCATCCTCCGTTGCTATTGCTGCCTGGAACCCTACTCATGACACCGCCACCGTCCGTTCCTTCGTACTGCATCACCTCCACAATGCCATCGATCGCGAAATCAGTTGCATGGCAACATCATGGGACCAAGCCACGGCGGCGTACTCGTTTGGGCTAGTCCTCCACGAAACCAACGAATTGCACGCCGCCAAGACACACTACGACCACGCCGTTATGGTGTTTCCATACACAAGTCGCGAGTACTTCTGCACGTCCAGGCAGTTAGCTCTCGTCAACGACAAGATAGCACAACCATCATCGTCCGACGAGTCGACGCTGACATGTCTGCAAGGAATTCTAGAAGCCCAGCGCGAGCGCTTCGGCGACAATGACTCTGACACCGTCGACACCATGGTGGCGCTGGGCTACACGTACGCCACCCATGGCCAGCCCACGCTGGCATGGCACGTTTTCGAAAAAGCACTGCATGCTCGCGCCGAGACGGTCGGGGTCGACCACACATCGACTTTACACGTGATGGAACTGCTCGCGGGCCAGCTGCTTGCCCTACACCAATACGCCCCTGCCGCGGCCATGTATGCCAGGTGTCTCGAACACTATGACAAGTCGCCGACCCCCACCAACACTGGAGCTAGAGTCACGTGCGCTAGCAATCTGGCTGCGGTGCGCATGTGTCTGGGCCAGTACTCGCAGGCGAGAACGCTGTGGACCGAATGCTTGGAACAAGACATCATCGCCCATGGCCTCGACAGCGACGACACGCTCGTGAGTATGGCCAACGTTGCCGAAGCCCATCGATGCCTCGGTACGTGATGCTGCATGATAGGATCTCCCGTTGTGGCGGTGGCTGGCTAAATGGCCACCCCGTCGTCGACGTCGTGTGCACGGTTGCGACGTGTTTCCAAGTGCTGGGTGTGCGTCATGTTGGTTTGGAAAATCGATTTCATGGTGGAGAATGACCGCTGGTCATGGAAATGTCGCAGGTGAATACATGCATGCCGAATGGCTCGTGCTGTCGATGTGGGATCGCGCCAAGCAAATCCTTGGCGACTCGAGCGAACTGGCCCTACTTGGTGCGAAGCGATCGTTCCTAATTTGTTGATCCTTGGCCGATGGATGGTGCCACGGACTCCGCCGTCCCCACGTTATTCACGCGCTGCGTAGGACTGTCTGTGCTGGGGATGGTGTATGGCAACCAAGGGTCGAAAGAAGCGTCCCAGTGCCTCGAGCACGTTTTTCTCGAGCGAAAGCGTCGGTTCGTTCGCGATGGAACTGGCTGGAACGCAGCGTGCAAGTCGCTGTATCAGTGGTATCACTACTGCCGCAACCACCTCCGAATTGAGTCGCTGAGCAACATCGAAGCGTTTGAATTGCACTTGGCCGACTTGGATTGTGTCTCCGAAACATGGCGCAACGAGCGGTGCCATGCATGCACCCAAGAAATACACGGCGACCTCGCCACGTGCCCACAGTGCGTGGCGGCCACATACCAGTACTGCCGCGACTGCGCCGCCAAAAAGGCCAAGCGCCGATGCAACCACCGAGCCAACTTCATGGTTCGGACACCCCCCATGCGGGAATTGCACGAGAAGCGCCTTCAACTCCTCGCCATGACGGACCAGCACGAAGCGTACGACAACTGGTTCGATCGTTACGAAGCATATTGCACCGACAACCACGTCCCCGACAGAGACAGACGCATGCAGCCCCGAGACGAGCACCAGGTCGCGGCGATGTGCTTTGCGTGCGTCCCATGGATATGACATCCTCACCGAGATTCGAGTTTGTGGACAAGGACGGGCGGTAGTGAGCGGAAGCACGACGATGCCAAGGAGACATTGAACAAGACAGCGTCGTGGCAACGGCCATGAGGTGCTTGGAACACGAAGAGGGTGGCAATGACGCCACGGCGAGATGGGACTACATAGACACAACTGCACCCCATGTATTCATGGCTTGGGCGGAAAGCTTCGCTTCATCACGTCTTCATGGCAGAAGCAATATCGTTCGTGACGACGAACCGACCTCCAGCGTGATGTCCTCATTCTTCCAATCGTTCGTTCGAGTCGACATACCCAGTGGCATCAATGCGCACAGCATACTCGTGGCGGTTCCCGACACCTGCGCCGACTGCACAAAGTAGAGGTCGTTCCGTGGCGCGATGGATCGCATCCCACAATCATGCCAATGCAAAATTCGTGCAACAGCCAGGTTGAAAAAAAAATAGCGGAAGCGATCGACACATTGTTTTAAAAACCAACCAACAGGACGAAGGATGTTTTAAAATTTGAGTCGAATCGCACTCGATTTCCACGCGGTCGGATTTTTATAATATTATTCACGTCACAACCAACGCGACCGCAGGAATGGCGTCCCACGGCCGGGAATCGATTCAAGGCGTCCTCGTGACGTGGTTCGACCTTGGCGTGCGGCGTCTATAGTCGTATCTCATGGTTGTGTGCGTGTGTAGTGACCCCCCTACGAAGCAGTACCTTCGTCACCTCAACCTCACGCCAGGCGTTGTACGTCGCAGCTGCGCGCCACCGTGTACGTCCATCTCACGTGAATGCTGTAGAAAAAATTCATCATCCAAGACCTGGACGACAACCACCTCTTCATCGACCCGAACCCGGCCGTCGTCGCGTACATTAACGAGATGATCGACAAGTGGAACGACAAGAATACGTATCAAGCACCGACGAATTAAGAGTCTGCGTGAAACCATGCTTGTACACGTTCCCATTTCCCTCCATGCGCTGCCACATGCACCTCGCGTTCACCTTCCACGTCCGTGTACGTAATATGCACGTCCAGCCTCGGCGTCGGCAACTCTTGTAGTCGATCGGGCCATTCCACAATGCTCGTTCCTGGACGCTGTGTTGTGAGAATCCCGCCAAGGGAATTCAAGTTCGTACCGTTAGTGAATGCATCTTCGAGGCCTAGGGCTTCGGCGTCCGTGGAGGTCACGCGGTCGAGGCGATATAGATCCATGTGATGGAGGGTGCTTCGCCTGCGCACACAACGAAACGTCAAGCATGATGATAGTCATTCGGTCATGACAGCGTCGTGAAAACAAGATGTGCACCATACTTTGAGGTAGACGGAGGATTGTACGTGTTGATGAGAAGGTATGTTGGAGACGTCACGTCCATGGAGGCGTCGCTGCACCACGTTCGCGCAAATCCGCGGGCAAAGCACGTTTTGCCACACCCGAGGTCACCATGAAGGAGCAGAACGTTGCCCGATTGGGTGGACGGGATCTGGGAGGCCAATGCCGCGCCAAATCTCTCCATTTCGTCTTCCCCATGAATCAATCGAGACGTCGAGAAGAGGTGGCGGCGGATGGCAACATGGTGGTGGCGCACGACTCGTTGCATCATGGGCGGCGCCAAGATGAAATAGTGTGACCATATATTAGTGTGCTTCTCAATTTTATTCGTATATTTTTGCCGCTTTGTGTCTGTAAATATTCCAATTCATTCATTGGTCCACACGAATTTTCGGCAGAAAACTCTGGAATTCAAAACCACACGAAACGCAGCCACCGCGTCTAGCCCAAGTAGTTGGCTACACGTCGGCGATAAAATACTCCACACCCCATGGTCACGCTCGAGTGCATGCGCAAGCTAGCTTTAACAAGTAAAGCCCATGGCATATCGAGATGACCACGGATGGGTGGTCGATGCAGCTATCACAATGTACAATTGAATGGCGTGTGTTGCCGGGTGTAACCAGATAGAACCACCTGGCAGCTACCTTCGATTTACAAGAGATACTGGTGAGTTTCGTGGAGATGTGCAACCACGGCACTCTCCTCTGCAAACCGCTATCGACGGCCAGATGTCGTAGCGGTCAACGCGCCAAGAAATACGACGTTGTGTGCGACGACATTGTCTCCGCCGACAGGCTGCATAGCAAGTACGTCGGTTACCTTTCATGGTTTTGTGTGTCAAGGCCAGGCTTGTGTCGAGGCGGCGGCTCCCGTGCATGTTTTCCAACGAGCTCGTTCCTTCTGGAGCATCATACTCCAAGACGACGATGGACTTGGCTGTAAACGCATCGTTCGCCCGATGGAAGTGCAGTTTGCGATCGGGGCACCTTTGACTTCGATGGCTGGCTCCCTCGACGAGTTTGACGGGTTTTGCCTTGGATTCGTGAAGCAGCGTCATCGTTCTTGATGGCCATGGAATTTGACACGTTGGTGTTTTCCCACTGCACGAAGGACGTTTGCAGTGATTCGGACAATGCGTTCCACCAACGGGGTCGTTTGGATGGCATCACTTGCACAATGGTGAGATGTGCTAGTCCGGAACAAGGCACGCTATACCACCTGCTTCCTGTGCATTGTGGTTTCGTTGCCGTGGCATGCCCTGCACCGTTGAATGTCAGGCATCGACGGCGTTGAATGCGCTCCGCAGTCGCTTGCTTCGAACGGAGGCGACTTGTGCTCTCGAGTGTCGTGAAAGCAAGACGAGCGTGGTTGAAATGCACTGGGTGACCCTGTCCACTCCACATTTCCTACTAGTGAGAGTGAGTTCTACGGCGCGAACTTGTGCGCGTTTGGAAGCGTGCTCCTTGTTGCCGGCCTCGTCGTATGTCGCGAATGGTATGTGCTAGAGTACTTGCCTAATCCTACTCGGGTACATATTGATGGATGCGTACCAATACATACCATGTCAATGCCATCACCGCGGCCAACGTGCCGCACGCGTTGAGAAAGGTTCGCCTCTGTCCTCTCTGTCTCAACGCGCCAACACAGCCGTGTCGGCCGTCATGCTGGTTGTGCACATCCGGTTTAGGCATAGCAGCCAAGCGCCATGACGCTAATTCCGGGGAGTGTGCGGGCGAGCATCACATGGTCGGTGGCCGCAAATATGGTTACGTCGTCAATGTATAGTTTGTGGACGGCATGACTAGGTTTGGCATTCGCAAGTACAAGACGCTGGCACGAAATTCTTTTCATGTCCTGGAGGCAGACCGAGCCCGGCAAAGTCTGGCGCGGTGCACGTGCGCGACGATGGCTGTTTCGCATTGACAACCATTGTTCCGGCACTCGTCCTAGCGTGGTGGTGGACCCACTGGCAAGTCTCATGTGCATGGCGATTTCACCAGGTAGGATCGATCAAGCGAAACATGGCTCCGTCTCCTGATTCGAGCCACGATCGTTTCTCGACCACGCGCCGTATTCGCTGCTGGCAGAGGTAGATGCACGTGCGTGCGCTTGTTCGTGCTTTTATTGTGCGTCCTGCATGCGATCCGACATGGTGCATCGTCGCGTGGAATCCTGCATTGGCGCACGGAATGTTCTCCTTTGCATGTGCATGTTTTGCTCAATGTTGCGGCGACGGTACCTATTCGAAAGCACATGACGTGGCGGGCCATCCACTCGATACTTTGAATTGTTGTTTGGGTTGACGAGTTGCGCCGCGGGAACGGTGCTGTCAAGGTATCGTTCGTCCACGGTCGACGTGCTCAAAAGGACGACGCAGCACACGTTGTGGTTGGATATCCCCGCACCAAGCACAGGACCCTGCGAGAAGAACATGGGAAGTTGCTTCGAGGAGACTCGTCCGCATTCGGCATAGCAAGGAACTACGGTCATGCACAAGCACACGATGCGTCGAGGCCACCACGACGGCAGCGACGTCGGTGGCTGAACGAAATGCCAACAAATATCCTTCATGCAAGAAATGTGGCCGGGGCGACCGATGCCGACATATCACGGGACAGCACATCGTCTGTGAAATGACTGCGCGATCACGTTCGCCTCTCGAGAGTTCGCGCCTTCGTCTTTCGGATGACATGAGACTGGGCGGTGGGTGGCATGTGTTGCGTGGTATGTTATCCCACTGCTACGAAGTGGCCCACCCCGACAAGACTCCCCCGTGTGAATGCCAGCGTGGATGGCGTCGTGCAAGCGCGCAGGGCTTGATGCGTTTGGAAACAAACGTACCCTTCACAACGCGCCAAATGCCATCCATCCACTTTCCATGGAACTGAAAAATCGGCATGTTCCGCCGCAGTGTTGTTGCCGCCCTGCGTCCAGACAAAAATGATATGGCGTGTATAAATTTGGGGTTCTCCATTTCGAACCGAGTGGCTGGTCGACCCAGCGCGCTCTCCATGGCGATTTGTGGTATAAAACGACATGGAATGTTTCCGGGGGACGTTGAAAGCATGTTGAATGGATCTGAGGCCTGACCACCCCGTCGAGAAGCCGTCGACGTGGTCGCCGCCATGGATGAACAGGTCGCTCGTGGGGTGCTCCACCAAACACTGCTGGAGCCACAGGAATCGTGACCGCCTCCGACGCTGCGCCAGGAATCTGGCCATGGCCCGGTGCCTCTTTTCTGCGAGCTCGACTGCCCTGTGCAGTTTCCATTGTCATCACGTCGTTGGGTGTGCCGACGTAAGTTGCCATCGGGGAGCACTGTACACGTATCTGTGGCGGTGTACGTCGTTCGCTGGCTCTGGATCGAGAGTCCAGCGCACGATTTCGGTGCTCGACGACGGCGATGAAGTGCGTGCTGCAGCGGATTCGCTGGCCAACGTGCCATTATTATTATTACGTTACCCTCCCTCGACGGCGCGATCGATATGCGTGTTTCAAAGGAGTTTTAAATGCCACCATGGCCGCGGTGGCGGGGCGATCGATTTAAAATGGATTTAAAATACTCGCCGCCACCTCGACAACCCCCCTATGGGCACAACAACGTCATTTACGATGAAGGCGACGTCGAACGATAACGCGGCGGCCGCGTCGATTCGATTCTTCCGCACCAAGTGCTCGCACGCGGACCTGTTTCGCGAGTCGTACATTCGGTACGTGCGTCCCGAGCCACTCCCACTCACATGGACACTGTGGAGGTGCTACCAAAACCACGGTCTTAAGGTGCGTTGGACAATTCGCACACTTCCATGCCGAGAGCACCCATGCGGCGGTTGTAGGTCATTCGGTTCGTACAGCCACGATGGGTAGCTCGATCATGCGGCGCTAGGTGTTTTCCGCATTGCTGCCCACACATGGAGTATCGTGGATGTGGGGCGTCGTTGAGTCTCCATGTGGACCATTCTGGACGAGCCGACGCCAATCGTCTCCAAGCGTTTGGGCGATTCCAAGTCGCGTCCGAGCCGTTCTTTGCTCCCAACGACATTATCCCGCTGGCCACGTTTACGAGCGACCTGCGCAGCCAGCGAAATGCGTTGGGGACGTGGCTGCGTGGGGAGCGGCACGCACCCGAACGTGGCGGTGGCGAGGTATGGCTTCCTGTCGCGGGGCGTCGACCTCAGGGCGGCCGTTCCAGGTGCCGACGGCGGCTGTGTTTCACTTCAACGAAAAGCGCACGGATGGATGGCATTACACGTGGCAAGGGGGCTCGAGCACGAAGAAGCGAGAAGAATTGCATCAGTTTCGGGTACCGTAGCTCATCTCGGAACCAAAGGGCCCACGCGTGTTTGGTCGTAGGTATACGTTGTGTCGAGAGATTCCGATAGCAACGACTGCGCTGTGGTATGGAGCGCTGGCACGCCCCCCTTCAAACTGTCGTCGTATCGGCGCGCGAGACAGAACGATGAGCCGGTGATAGCGCCGCAATCCAAAACCCGCATGACCCGAGCGTCGAGTCATGCCCAGCCTCATGCGCCACTCGTGGTGGACGCCACCCCGAGTCGAATCCAACAGCATGCGCACTACTTGCGCACGCTGCACGACTTTTGCACGTCCATTTCGATTGACGACATAGCGCGCCCCGACTGGCTGGCATTTGAACAGCGGCTGCTGTGCCAATCTCGCCGTTGGATTCAATCCGCCGCAGCAGCAAATATTCCGTTTGCGACGTCCTTGCTCCATCCAGATCACCTGAGAGTGTCGCGCAGCATCGAGTGGGGGACACAGCATGAGGTGTCGCATCGGTGACTCGATCCATGATCTCATTGTACGAGTAGTTGGCGCTCGACTTGATGTGGCAATGGTTCACCCCCGCCTTATTCCACCGCCTCCACGCGTTTGCAGCGGACCACGCCGTCGAAGCCAACGACGAGGTGCCGCAAGTGTACTACGAATGGATCGGCACGCTGTACGCGATCGTGGAGGACATGCTGGCCGCCCATTCGGAAACAGTAGAGCGCTTGGCACATCGCTTGGACCAACGCAACCGTGCGGCGTTCGACGGGGACGACGACAAAATTGGGTTGCATGCCGTGCTCTGCACGTTACAAGAATGCGCCAAGGTGCTGCAGACGAGCTCTCCAACTTGAATTGTTGACAGCGTTGTAGCTCAAGGCCGCGGCACGATCCGACGATGCGCCGGCAAACTGCCGCTACCAAGGCCTGTGGGTGTTGGCAAACGTCCAACTGCGCCGCATGGACCTTCGACCGTCGCTCGCCACTTTCTTTCGCGTGTTTACCATGTTGTTTGCCGTCCACTCGCGCCTGGACGGCGATGTCTTTTTTGTAATAACCACTAGTATACTGCTCGACACGGTCCTGGCCCTCATGTTTGCGTGTCAAGGTCAACTCACACGTCCCGATGTTGCTCGCGACGAGGACCGCATTCCGCTTGAACGGCCAGCCCCACCGGTTTGACGCGTTCCCGAACGGCGAAGCTTGCGGACTCGACAGGCGCCACATCCACGGCGACTACATTGGCTGGACCGAGCTCGGCACGATTCAGCTGTGGTACGTGGCGCTCCACGTCGTTGCCAGCCCCATGCGACAGTAGGGTGTACACGTGGTCGGTCGGTGGCCCGCCGTGGTGCAGTCTGTTGCGGGTGTGCATTTCGCTCGATGTGCAAGACACCGCCGTGTGCCGCGCTACGTGGAACTTGGAGCACTCGAGTGCGATCGTCGACTGGACGCACCTGACGGTCGACGAACGAATCCAAGCATGGAACGATATGCCCCATTCCGTTGGGATCCAACTCGAAACGACGTACGCCCGCGCGGCGGACTCACAGCTCTAACTTGAACACGACGTTGTCGTTGCCGTGGGGGCGTCGACATGGGGTGTTGTTGTTGCGCAGCAGCCTCGCATTATTGCACAGACGACGTTGGTTTGGCCTGGTGCAGTCGACCGCATCCCCCACATGTTTGTGCTCGTCGTCGTCGGTGCTGTCGACATTTGAATAACCTCAAACAAACCAGCGCGATGGCGGCGCGGTCGGTCGCGCCATGGACATGCCCTACAGAGAGCCCGCCGTTTGGAAACGAACGTGGGCTGGGTTCGCGATTCAACCAAGCGTCAGGGGGAGAACGGGGGCGACTGCGATGCTTGGATTGCAACAAGAAAATGCAAACGGTCCTTCGTGTTGACGAGTGATCTGTCCTTGTCCAACGTCGGAGAAATACGCTGACGGGTTGAGGGGGCCGCCTCGCTCCGAGGGCACCACGAACGATCCAGCAGCCTCCATCAACGGAAACATGCACGCCCCCCCATGGACCATGTCGTCGAGCCCCACGATGGGTCGCATCCTGCACTTGCGTCGTCGTTGGGGTAATTGATCGATCCGCGACATCGTTTCAAACGTTCCCATGTCGTCGATCTGCGCTGGGAATGACGACGCAAGCGAATATTTCTCCATCAAAGGCCGACGGTGGACGAGCGGCTCTGGTGGCGATATACGCAGCATCGCGGTCGTCGTTGTACAAACGTGTGTCTCATGCTCGCCCGTTTGAGATACGAAGGTGGAGAACATTGTCGGCACGTGTGGACCTCGAGCGTTGGTTCATGGGTCTCGAATCGTTTTGACTTCCCCCTGCCAAGCACGTTTAGCACATGAGGAATTGCAACAACGTGCATGGGACACTGTTTCGGGGGGGGCTCCGACTGCCGCGATTCCCCAGGACAAAAGCTCGGCATGTTTCACGGCGAAGCACTGTCCACGAAAACGGCGGCTCGTATGGGCAAGGTCTGGTGCGGCAGGGTCTTTTCCGACACATCCCATGGCCGTGGACATCGGCCAACAAAAAACGACCCGACGACTGGTGCGGAGGCCGTGGCTTGTTTTGGCAGCGCTGCCTGCTGCCGTGGTCCCTGCCAACAAAACACTCGCGATCTTTCGGCACTCCTTGTTTTCGTGTAGAAAGGCAACGTGCCCTAGCCACGTCATGGTACGTGCAAGCGGTCGCCGCGGCGGGAGTCGATGCGTGTGATGCTGAAAAACGTTCAGTTGCAACGACACTCGACACATCCCCCCCCCAATTCCTCTCCCCCCCCGCGCCGCATGCCGCGTCGTGGGGCTCGCCGACAGGATATCTGGGTCAACCCACATGGCAAAGAACTTGATGGGAGAGCGTCTGTTTTGTGTCGCGAGTGTGGTGGACGGGACATGGTTTGCCCTTTGGTGACTGCATCGAGCCATCTCTCTCCACCAGGTGTCCCGCGGCTCGACAACGGACGGGTGACTTGGGAAGACGCCGACGAGGCAATGATCCCTACTGCGACCACCACGGCGCGGTCGTCGTGCCATTTGGACTGAAGCACACCAGTCGCGTCGACTTTACCGCGAAATCTTTCCATGTCGGAAGACACATATGATGATATCCATCTGGTCGACTGTTGGCGACGACGACACACACTTGCCACTGGTGCCCGAGCGAACACGCTGTGGCGAGTGGAAGAGGGCGGCATCCGCACCACTCGTGCACCGCGAGCGACGGCACGGCACCGAGTGGTTGCGGCGTATCGACCGCCATGGCCACGATATATCCTTCCAACGAAGCGCGCCGGATCCAACCGAATCTCGACCGACGGGTTGTCGACGAGGAACTGATGCCGACCCCAACGCGTCGAGACGAGAACAGCTACCTGTCAAAGCCAGGTCCGTCGCATCGTTCTCGAGCGTGTGGCTGGTCTAGTGTGCTGCGGATTGTCGCGCCATTCGATGGCGTTCACGACGTCGGCTGCATCACGATCCACTCGTCGTCGGTCGAGCCCTACGTTTTCGCGCCACTGTCCGATCATGTCACGAACGAAGAACCTTCCAGGCGATAGCTACACGTCCCGTCGTCCGTGCAAGCAAAGCCTAGCGTGTCATGGTCGATGGACAGTGTGTCTGGTTGTTATCACACAAGTTCGTCGCCGTCGAGGAACACGACGTGAGGGTGGTGGCTCTAGCCAAGCCAGACGATTCAAGCAAGGCATGAAGCAACCGCGGACGTTTTGCTCAGCGACGTCACTGCGCCATCGTCCCGTGCTAGCGTCGAAAGTGATTTGGTGGTGTTGGCCACTGCTCAAGAGACCGAGAGCCATGCGACGCGATTGCATCGATGGCGTGTTCGACATGGAGCCAAAAAACACCCTCGACGACGATTCCCACCAGGAAAGTTGGTCGGTGAAGAGTCGACACACGCGATCCTTGCTTCGGACGAGTCCCCGTCGCCACGATCGAGTTGACTTTGGAGGTGCCATTTCCACTCGCAAGTCGCGGAATCCAGTCCGCGCATGACAGCATGCCCAGCCTGCACGTTGAACACCTTTACGACATTGCTTTCCACGTCGGTCCTGTCTGGAATCATGACGCGCGGCGACCGTGCCTTGGAAGACTTGCATGGACAGCATTCTCCGTGTGTGCGGTCGTGTGGGCCAGCGTGAAATTCCCAGTTCCTGGTGACCTGCGTGCGAAAATTCGAGCAACGTTCGAACAACCACATCGTGGGAGCGTCTCTACCATGCCCGAGTACATGTCGCAAGTGCAGTTTGCACCAGGAGGAGGGCGGCGGCGGTGGAGTTTTAAATGGATTTTAAATACGACGCCCCGCTCGGACAGCGGCATCGTGGCGGTACGGGGCGTGGGGGCGGCCGAATGTGCATACGATCGTGACGACGACGGCGCCGCCTCCCCCCGATCCTCCAAACGGACGAATGTCTGGTCGTGGGGTCGATGCCAAGTGCTCGGATCGAGTGTGGCTCGACAACGTGACGGCACCGACGTGAGAAGACTGCCAAACTCGTTCATCGTTGGACGGCAGCATCCCCGCTGTGAGGTGCATCGGACACAACAGGACGGCTCGAAACATCGGTCCCAATGAAACAAACAACGTCGAGACATGGTCCTTGGTCCCTCGTGCGGGCGATCCAGCCACCACCAGCCAAAACCTGGATCGTCTCCGCATCTCGCACCTTGGGTGCATATACCTCGTCGCGTGGGAAACCAACAATGGCCACGTCATGATGTGGACACTGGATG